TGCAGTGTGCTCTACATGGGGCTGCCCTTGAAGACCAACTGGGAGATATTACTGATTCAGAATGCAGTGGTGCACAGTTCTGGGTGCTTCGCTCTTTGCCCATATTAATCTGCTATGGAGTGAACTGCATTGGCTTCTGATTCTTTTCCAGGTGCAATTCAAGATTATGATTATTACCTTTAAAGCCCTATGTGGCATGGGCCCAGGTTATTTATAGGACTGCCTTTCCTTGAGGTATCTGCCTGTCCCACCAGGCCAGATAGGGTGGGCGCTCTCCAGGTCTGGCAGGACCTTGGAAATGTGACTTCTCTGTGGCTGCCTGGCCCTTTAGAACAGCCCTCCCCTATAGACTTGGAGGCCCCCACCCTCTCAGCCTTCCAGATGGCCATGAAGACCTGATTCTTCACCCAAACATTTCGCTAGGATGGAAGTGAGTGCAGCAAATGTAGCATTGGCAGGAAGTTGTGGCACTTTGGTGAGAAGTATGATGTTTTTTGTGGGGTTTTATGGGTCTATATATATATAGTTTTTGCTTTTATGGAATGTTTCTGTGAGCAACCTAGAATTAACATGTATAACCTAGGCTCCCGTGTAAGTTTTTGAGATAAAATAATAAATGAATAAATAAATAACATTGAATTTAAAATCCCAGGCCTTGGGATAGGGTTCTTGTGGAGAAACTGTTTGTGGTGTTTTCTGTTACAGGGTTTGTGTTAATCTGGACATATTGGACTCTCTTTTTACTGTTTTCTAGTTTTTAGAGTAAGTTATCCAAAGTCATTCTGGAGTCAGGTGGCTTCTAAATCTTGTAAGTTTGATCACTGTTAATAAATCTTGTTAAGTAAATAAGTAAGTAAGTAGTTTCCAACCATGATGGAACTTGAAAAGCAACCACAGCATTTGGGCCGAATACACCAAACAACAAATGGCTGAGTTGAATAAACTGCCAGGAAATAAATAAATCACCTTTTTAAAATTCCCAAGGACTGAGTTGATCCTAAGTAATAATATTAAGAGAATACCAGTTACGAGTAAAACTGGCACTTTTTTTTTAACATGGGGAAATGGGCCAAAATTATATCCATGATCCAATATTTTCCATCTACCTTTTAAGACATTCAGCAGACATATTATTTCTTGCAAAGCAGGGGTCCATATGCCCAGGTGAGATCAATGGGTCTACTAATAACTCTCAAATGGAGCTCAATATTGAATTACAAAGATCCTTATTCCAGCCAGCGACCGAAAGTAGAATAAATGCCCACTGCTCAGTCTGAAAACGTGAAAAGTTAAATCTATCTTTCCCAGTGGGCAATAGTAATTTGTTCAGTAAATATCTCACAAGATACCCTTGCCAGAGATATTTCTTCCATACTGTGTAAATTTGTTTAAAATAATGTGAGGGAATAAATGTTGGAAGGCTTCTCAAAATGTAAATCAGCCTTGGAGTTAAAGTTATCTTAATCACATTTATTTTGCCCCAAATACTCAAAGGAATTCCACACTGTCTCTCTACATCTTTTTTTCATTTGCATCACAATAGGGTATAAGATCAAATTTGTCACTTGAAAACACTTCCTGGAAATTCTTGTACCAGGAAGAACGAACACAGGCTAAAAACCCAGTCCTTATATTTGTCACAATGTTTGCTACATCCAGTGACATGAAGACTGTTTATATCCAATTTATACAGTAATCAGATTGGATACTAAACTTGTGTATTAAAGAAATGAGATTAGATAGAGAAATTTTGGTCTACCCACAGAATAAAATTTTATCTGTATACAGGAAAATCTTGAGCTCTGTTTCCCACTAGAATTCCTTTAATGCTTCCAGAATTTCTAATTACACCAGCAAAGAGTTCTAAAATGAAATTAAAAAGAAAGGGAAAAAGCAGACTTCTTTGACAAATATCTTGATATAAATGTAGTGAAGTAGATGGCAAATCATATCAATCCATTGGGTAGGTTGTGATTATTTTTGGGGGGAGGGAGGTTCAGAATCTCAGGGAGGCCCCAAATAACCTAGGATCCTGTCTACTTTCAATCAGAGCAAGAGGAATGATTTAAAAATATGATATTGTCAGTAGCTCTCCCTGTATAAATCCAGCTTGAGGTTGAGTGAGTGACAGTTGGAAAAACAAGCTGTATTCTGTGGCCAAGATAGCTATAAAATCTTAACATCCTCATTTATTAAGGAATTAGGGCTACAATTAGAACGCACAGTGAGATTCTTGCCTGATTTAGAAATAACAGCAATATTTGTCTCATTAAAATGAAAATAAAGGGATTTATCTGGAGGGGGGAAAAACCCCAATGTTAACCATATACCTTCAATAAAATTGGAGATTTTGTATAGCTACACCAAAACAGTGGAAAACCATCAGGGCCAGGAATTCCCCCCACTTTCATAGTTTTAATTGTAGTGATAATTTCTTGAAGGAAAAAAGGTGTAAGTAAGATTAGTGACTTGGTTCAATAATAAATACAGTAACTTTGTGGGTTTTTTTTTTTTAAGAACATATCTATTGATGAAAAATTACACCACCGTGTAATTGAGAATATAAATTTTTTAAAAATTGTGAATAATAGACCTGGAAATGTAATACATTTCATTTGTTTCTGAATCAGATGATACATTGATTACATTGTTTAGTTTGGTTGAATCTGACTTCCAATAACTTTCAATTCCTTCCCTTTTACCAATACCTGGAGTCTCCAAATAAATAAGAACAAATTGATCGACAGGCACGTTCCTTGCATTTGTTTATTGGTGCCTGGCCTCTTTCACACCTTTTGCTTGAAATAAACAGGGGTTATTCTGCTCATTTGCTTAACACCATTTGGGAGCATTGCTGAGATGTGTCAGTTTTAACGTCTGGGGCTCACCCTGCAGAGTAACACCTGGGATCAAATGGCTTAAGAGACATCTTCAACCGACTCTCGCCTTACATGCCACTTGGGCTGAACTGAGGTTGTGTTACTGATATCATAGTTTTAAATAGGCTGTTTCAACTGCTCTGTCCCTTCCTTCAATGACATATTTCACAAGCATATTACCTAATAATTTTCAAAACGTTTCAAGTAGGTAGCTGTTATTTCTAAAGCTGTAGCATTGATGATCAGTTAATATTCATACAAAATCTTTTTAAGTTTGTTAAGGCTATAGCTGCGCTTGGCCATGATGATAAACCTAGAGAGCTTTGCAGTTTTGCTGAAACCATCTTTGGTTTCTTTATTAACCACCATTTATCATCATATCTGAACTCCCACCAGGGGTTCCGCTCAGATTAAGCACAACACATTGGCTTGACAAATCAACAAGTCACAGTGACTTCAAACAGAAGTGACATGATTCTGAATTGTAAACCAATCAATCTTAGCTCATGACTGAAAATCTGCAGTAGCACACCTACAGAATGGTTAAGCAAGCTGAGATTTGCAGAGATGTATAAATTTACCAACACGCAGGGCGGGATCTAGACATCTAGAATGAACACCCTGAGTGTCAGTGGGCACCGTGTCATTGTTGCTGTAAACCATATTTCTCTTTTCTTCCCCTTATCATCTCCTGCCTTAATTTCTTTTCTATTTCTTACTTGTTTCCTGTGGTTTTCATAATGACATTTACCCTGAAAAGGAATAGTACTAGTATGGATGTACGTACTGTACTGTCATTCATTGTTATGCTATATTGAAGCTTCTATTATCGGAGCCTACGATGACCACTAGAGGCAGCTAAGAGATACAGAGAACTCAAAGTCTTCACTGACATCTAGTGGCTCCCTAGGTGACTGCAGTCCAGATTCAGTGTACCATCTTTATGGGGACTCGCTATTCCAAACTGAATCAGTTTACTTACACTCCGGATGAGATTATTACTATGATGGAAAGGACAGACTAGATACATTGGAACTCCGATCATTGCCATGTTGGAGAGCCTGTGCAATAATCTTGGGCTGGCCCTTTGCTGTCTGCCTAGTCCACCCCAGAAGCTCTTGGCACAGAGCCTCCTATCAGTGGTTCTTTGAGTGGACAATGCTCTATTCTGCAGGAATGCAATATGCATGATCTGGAAGGCACTTTAGAGGTCAACTAGTCTAATTCCTTATTCAGGGCAGGAATGGGGAATAGTTCTACTATCAAGAACATGAAAAATTGGAATGGAACAAACTTTTAATAGACCTATTGATCTACCTAGCTATTGTACAGATCTTTGAGGTATACACTTCTACCCCTTATTTTTCCTCCAATTGGCTCTTTCCAAAGTCCTGAACTGGGCAAAATCATCTCAGAGGAATAAACTCCGACAATATGCTAAATCAGGCTAATAACATGATTTACCGAGCACGCTGGGCCCAATCCTAACATGAGGGCCTCGTGCAAACCATCAAAGTCCATTTTATGCCAGCCCTTCTGTTCTGCTCCTCTGAAGGTTGCCTGGAAGAACAAGCATCATCAGAGATTATGAGGGGAGGAAGAAACCCTGCCTGCGATGGTGGCTGGGCTTATTTGCATATGAAGGACCAGAGGCTCATTTGCATACCGGGGACCATATGATCCCAAGGCAGAGGGGAAGGTCTCGCTAGAGAGGCTCAGCTGCAGACACCAAGTAGAGCTATTCAGCGCTGGTGGAGAAGAAGCGGGCGAGCAGACTCCGGGTGAGGACTCAGCCAACTTCTTGAAAGGAACCATGGCCGCCCTCCTCGTCCTGCCCATCGCCTTGCTCCAGCCTTTCTTTCTCCCCGGGGCGCAGAGCCAGAGCGTTCGATTCAGCGTGGACGAGGAGGCGCCTCCGGGCACGGTCCTCGGCGTCTTGGCCCAGGAACTGCAAGGGCCTGCT